CCTGACGTTTCACCTGCATCTATGGCAAGCATCCTCAGACCTCACAACCTCTGAGGATGCTTGCCATAGATGCAGGCGAAACGTCAGGAGAGAATACTTCTAGAATATGGCCATATAGCCCAAAAAACTTACATCAACCGAGCAATTCCAGCCATGAAAGCCTTTGACAATAATAGCCTTGTTGTGCATTCACACACAGTCACACACATGCAAAGAAAACACATATACAAATACACACCCCTACACATCAGGTGACACAATCCACTTGCACACACACAACATGCACACAAAGGTGTTACACATTTCCTTGTAGACAGGAAGTAAACAAATCACTGTAAACAATGATTTGCACACAAAGGTGTTACACATTTCCTTGTAGACAGGAAGTAAACAAATCACACACACACACACCTTGATGGAGGCACTACTCCATCATCAGTATCATCATTACTACGAGGGTTGAATGAAAAGTAATGCCTCCACCTTCGTAAATCCTCAACAGATGGCAGTCCTGGTATGCGGCAGGTACTGGCTTGTTCAGTAGACTCTCCTCTACAGGTCCATTTTGACGGGAAGCCTTAGCATCGAACGGTTGTGTTGTTAAAGTGCGAAGTATGAAACCCTGTGCAGACAGTCGGTCAATGTGACTTAAGCAAGATATGCGGCAGGTACTGGCTTGTTCAGTAGACTCTCCTCTACAGTTCCATTTTGACAGGAAGCCTTAGAATTGAACGGTTGTGTCGTTAAAGTGCAAAGTATGGAACCCTGCGCAGACAGTCAGTCAATGTGACTTAAGCAAGATATGTGGCAGGTACTGGCTTGTTCAGTAGACTCTCCTCTACAGGTCCATTTCGACAGGAAGCCTTAGCATTGAACGGTTGTGTCGTTAAAGTGCAAAGTATGGAACCCTGCGCAGACAATCGGTCAATGTGACTTAAGCAACGTATGCGGCAGGTACTGGCTTGTTCAGTAGACTCTCCTCTACACTTCCATTTCGACAGGAAGCCTTAGCATTGAACGGTTGTATTGTTGAAGTGCAAAGTATGGAACCCTGCGGAGACAGTTGGTCAATGTGACTTAAGCAACGTATGCGGCAGGTACTGGCTTGTTCAGTAGACTCTCCCCTACAGTTCCATTTTGGCAGGAAGCCTTAGCATTGAACGGTTGTATTGGTAAAGTGCGAAGTATGGAACCCTGCGCAGACAATCGGTCAGTGTGACTTAGGCAAAAAATCCTACAACAACCCAAGGCTATTATTATTATTATTATTATTATTATTATTATTATTATTATTAGAAACACAACAAGATGAGTCCACAGCAGACAAGATTACTCTGCTGGCAGTTGTATTGGATCACACGTCGGACAGTTCCCAAGTGTCTAGGACTGTGTGATGTATTGATGAATAATGCGTGCAGTTCCCACCAGTTCTTTGTCACAGGCAGATGATATTATTATTATTATTATTATTATTACTACTATTTCTGTTATATCTCTTCCAAAGGCATAGCATACAATTTAAAATATACTAATATGCAAACATTAAAACCCAATTAAAAACAAACCGCACTCAAAAATTCACAGTTAAAATCCATCAAAACATATTCAAAATTTAAATTATTAGTATTATTATGTTTACTTATACCCCACTTTTCTGTGTACAAGGGAGACTCGAAGCGGCTTTGTTTACCTCCTGTCTGTAAGGAGCCGAGCAACCTCTTTGGGTGTGTGTTGTGTATGTTCTATGTTCTTGCGTAGCAGGGCTGTGTTCCCCTCTTTAGTTTGGCTGCCTCGCCTGAGAGACACGGCACACCTTTGGCCTCCTGTCTGCGAGGAGCTTGTGTGTGTTTCTGTGTGTCTGTTGTGTGTTTCGCCTGGGAGACAACCTGCGTCTTAGAGCCGCGTGTCTCTTTATGCGCAGGTGTGATTGTGTGAAATGCAGCAGGACTTTGTTTCTCTTCTATGGGTTGTCCCACCTGGGAAACATAGAGCATGCATGCACATTTGTTTGTCTGTTTGTTTGTCTTTGTGTGAGCACAGTGTTTATCACGGGTGTTACGTTCCAGGACCACCCGCGAAAAGTGAAAATCCATGAAGTAGGGACGTTATATTTATTTTAATACTAGCCGTCCCCTGCCACACATTGCTGTGGCCTCATGGGGGTTCTGTGTGGGAGGTTTGGCCCAATTCTATCATTGGTGGGGTTCAGAATGCTCTTTGACTGTAGGTGAACTATAAATCCCAGCAACTACAACTCCCAAATGTCAAGATTCTATTTCCCCCAAACTCCACCAGTGTTCACATTTGGGCATATTGAGTATTCTTGTAGAGTTTGGTCCAGATCCATCATTGTTTGAGTCCACAGTGATCTCTGGATGTAGGTGAACTACAACTCCAGCCAAAGGACACTGCCCACCAAACCCTTCCAGTATTTTCTGTTGGTCATGGGAGAACTGTGTGCCAAGTTTGGTTCAATTCCATCATTGGTGGGGTTCAGAATGCTCTTTGATTGTAGGTGAACTATAAATCCCAGCAACTACAACTCCCAAATGTCAACGTTCTATGTCCCCCAAACTCCACCAGTTCACATTTTGGCCATATTGAGTATTCATGTAGAGTTTGGTCCAGATCCATCATTGTTTGAGTCCACAGTGATCTCTGGATGTAGGTGAACTACAACTCCAAAGCCAAAGGACACTGCCCACCAAACCCTTCCAGTCTTTTCTGTTGGTCATGGGAGAACTGTGCGCCAAGTTGGGTTCAATTCCATCGTTGGTGGGGTTCAGAATGCTCTTTGATTGTAGGTGAACTATAAATCCCAGCAACTACAAATCCCAAATGACAAAATCCATTTTTTTGAGTGAAGGACATACATTGGGTTGTTAGGTGTCTTGTGTCCAAATTTGGTGTCAATTCGTCCAGTGGTTTTTGAGTTATGTTAATCCCACAAACGAACATTACATTTTTATTTATATAGATTGATAATTAAAATTAGTAGTTACACACTATTTTAAGTCTTTATAAACCCTCCCCACACACTTTTGCGCTACACAACCCTCTTTGAACGTGTTGTTGACGTAATCCTCGGCTCCGGCTTTATCCGCAGAGGCAGCCTCTCCATACAGACAAACGCTCTTAAGTCTGTCAGTGTATGATTTATGTATGATGTATGTTTAAATGTAATTTTATGTGATAGGATTGTGAATGTAATAGATTGTAATAGAATTGTATTGCCAGGATGTAGTTTGACACAGAAGAGTTAAAAACAGCAAAGTAACTGGCTGTGAGAATGTGACCCTGAGTTCTTGCTGTGTGCAAGATTAGGGAGTGCCAAAGAGGTAAACTCCCTTCCAGCTGCGGTTTGCTTTGTGCCTCTCTCTTTCGGTTTGTGTTCTTCACGTCTGTCCGCCGATGTTCTGAGCTGCTTTAGTAAAGCTGCTTTTACCAGGAGACTCCAGAGTCCATTATTCTGAGCTTCTGTGATACTCTGCTGCACACCAACAATCGGTTATGGGCCCAAACACTGACCGGGCTTGTTAAACTGGACCTGCTGACCTGCAAAGCCATATTGGAAAATGGCGAAACAGCGAGTCCGCGAAAAGCGAACCGCAAAATAGCAAGGGACCACTGTATTGGTTTATATGTGCTCATATACGCACAACGATGCTTTCTCTACCTCCTGTCTGCAAGGGCCTGAGCAACTGCTTTGAGCATGCTGTGCAGGTTGCACCTTTGCTTCTGTGGCAGGGCTTTGTTTACGTCCTGCTGGTTGTCGCTCCTGGGAGACATAGAGCATTATTATTGTTGTTGTTGGGTTGTTGTAGGTTTTTCCGGGCTATATGACCATGTTCTAGAGGCATTCTTTCCTGACATTTCGCCTGCATCTATGGCAAGCATCCTCAGAGGTAGTGAGGTCTGTTGGAACTAGGAAAAGGGTTTATATATCTGTGGAATGACCAGGGTGGGACAAAGGACTCTTGTCTGCTGGAGCTAGGTGTGAATGTTTCAACTGACCACCTTGATTAGCATATAATGGCCTGACAGTGCCTGGAGCAAACTTTTGTTGAGAGGTGATTAGATGTCCTTGTTTGTTTCCTCTCTGTTGTGCTGTTGTAATTTTAGAGTTTTACATAGGAGGCTTCTGCACCACTTTAACTGCCATTAACAAAATCTGTATTAAAAAAACTCTAAAATTGCAACAGCACAACAACAGGGAGGAAACAAACAAGGACATCTAATCACCTCTCAACAAAAGATTGCTCCAGGCACTGCCAGGCCATCCAAAGCTAATCAAGGTGGTCAGTTGAAACATTCCCACCTAGCTCCATCAGACAAGAGTCCTTTGTCCCACCCTGGTCATTATTCCACAGATATATAAACCCATTGTCCTAGTTCAACAGACCTCACTACCTCTGAGGATGCTTGCCATAGATGCAGGCGAAACGTCAGGAGAGAATGCCTCTAGAACATGGCCATATAGCCCGAAAAACAACAACAACCCAGTGATTCCGGCCATGAAAGCCTTCGACAATACATTGTTGTTGTTGTTAGAGTACCTGCCTCAGTGATGCTTGTGAGCCACTCAACAACCTTTGTGTGTCTTTTTAGAAACAGGTTTTGAGTCCCCTCCTGTTCGTTGTCCCTCCTGGGAGACGTAGAGCACCTTTGCCCCACTGGTGCTGCCGTTGGGTCTGTGTGCAGCTCAGCCACCTTTGTGTGTGTGTGTTTTGTGTTGGGTGTGTGCACATGTGCAGCAGGACTCGGTTTCTTTAATATTAGTTATGCCACCATGCATACATGCATATCTGTTTGTTTATATTTATGTATGCACGCCAGGGCTTTGTTTACCTCCCGTCTGCAAGGAGCTGAGCAACCACTTGGCATTTGTTGCGCATGTTGTGCTTGTGTGTTTGCAATAGGGCTTCATTTCCCTCCTCCTCCTCCTGCTTGTCTCACCTGGAAAACATAGGCCACTTTTCACCTGCTGCTGTAGATGTGTCTCCTCTTTGCATGTGTGTGTCTCTCTCTTTGTGTGCGTGTCGCTCTTTGGGGTGTGATGCCAGTGTCAGCACGCTCCTTTCCAAGTGCTGTGCCTCATTGTGCGCCTCTTGTGTGTGTGTGTTTCCTGGTGAGCATGACCCACACAAAGACAGGCTTGTGCGAGGCCAGTTGTGTGTGCGCACATTGTTTGTGTGGTTTTTTTGCACAGCGATGAGGAAGGGACTCCGGAATCTGGTCCGTCCTGTTTTTGGGGAAGTCCTGAAGGGTGCGGAAGGGGAGGAATTTGGCAAAGCGGAAGGAGGAGACGAGTGAGCGAGAGAACGAGAGAGACACCGAAAGAAAAACAAGAGACAGACAGAGAGAGAGAGCGAGAGAGAGGGAGGAAGAAACCAGGAGAATGGGGTGCATTTGACCTCATTTTTCCATCATCATTCACCCCAAACTTTCCTTCCAACTATTTGGCAAAGTCAGAAGAGCGACTGAACGAGAGAGGCACCGAAAGAAAGACAAGAGAGTGAGAGAGAAAGAAAAGAAGGAAGAAAGAAGAGGAAATAACAAGGATGCATTTCATTGGGGAAATGCCTAAATCCTGACCCCATTTCTCCACCTTCTTTCACCTCAAACGTTACTTCCAAGAATTCGGAAGAGCGGAAGAGCGACAAAGCTAGACGTCAACGGCAGAAGAAAGACACGAGAAAGAGAACGAAAAGAAGAAAGAGGCAGAAATCACAAGGACGGGGTGCATTTCGGACTCCTCTGTATCCTCATCCAAATTTGGCAAAGCAGGAGAGCGACAGAACGAGAAAAAGGCACCAAAAGAAGAGAGAGAAGAACAGAAAAAGAGAGAAGACGATCAATCATGGGTCACCTTTGTCCCCATTTCTCCATCATCCTTCACTCCAGACTTGCCTTCTGAGAGCAAGAAGAGTGAGAAAACGAGGCAGGCACTGAAAGAAAGACAAGAGAGAGAGAGAGAAAGGAAGGAAGGAAGGAAAGAAGGAAGGAAGGAAGGAAGGAAGGAAGGAAGGAAGGAAGGAAGGAAGGAAGGAAGGAAGGAAGGAAGGTAGGAAGGAAGGAAGGAAGGAAGGAAGGAAGGAAGGAAGGAAGGAATGAAGGAGAGGAAATAATGAGGATGGGGGTTCATTTGTGTCACCCTTAAATCTTAACCTCCATCATCTTTTACCCCAAACATTCCTTCCAAGAATTTGGAAAAGCGGAAGAGCGACAGAACGAGAGAGACACTAAAAGAAAAGACGAGAAAGCAAGAAAGAAGGAAAGGGGGGGACAAAAGGATGGGGTGGGAGCGTACTTTGGGGCTGTCCCCTAATACCGACCCTCTCCCTTGACCCCTTTGGAGGTGTGTCCTTACTATTTGGGGTGTGACCCCAATGAAGGTCTTCCTGCGCTTGGGGGGCTGCCTGGAGCCGGGTGGGCCTTCTTCTTCTTCCTCTTCCGGAGGGGGCTTCCTCACTCGGACCCGGTGGTACTGCCTCCCTGCCAAGGTGAGCTATAGGGCAAAAGGGGGGAAAGAAGAGCCTGCGTTAGAAATAGGTATTACAGTGTTCCCTTGCTACTTCACAGTTCGCTTTTAGCAGACTCGCTGTTTTGCGGTTTTAAAAAAATATTAATTTAAAATATATATCGCGGTATTTTTGCTGTTTTTGCAGATTTTTGCAGCCGCCGCTCTCCGAGGCACTTTCTCTCCTCAGTCCTCCTTCCTCCAGCCTTGAAGGGCCTTTCCTTCCTTTCCTTTATTTTAAGTTTATAAAGACTTAAAATAGTGTATAACTGCTAAAATAATGTATAAATATTAAAATAAATATAGCATCTCTACTTCGCCGTTCGCTTTTTGCGGACTCGCTGTTTTCGCGGGTTTTTGCCGCCGCCGCTCTCCGAGGCTCTTTCTCTCCTCAGTCCTCCTTCCTCCAGCCTTGAAGGGCCTTTCCTTCCTTTCCTTCCTCTCCTTTATTTAAAGTTTATAAAGACTTAAAACAGTGTATAACTACTAAAATAATGTATACATATTAAAATAAATATAGCGTCCCTACATCGTGGTTTTTGACTTATTGCGGGAGGTCCTGGAACGTAAAATAAATATAGCGTCCCTACTTCACGGTTCGCTTTTCGCGGACTCGCTGTTTTCGCGGGTTTTTGCCGCCGCTGCTCTCCAAGGCACTTTCCCTCCTCAGTCCTCCCTCCCTCCAACATTTGAAGGGCCTTTCCTTCCTTTCCTTTATTTTAAGTGTATAAAGACTTAAAATAGTGTATAACTGCTAAAATAATATATAAATATTAAAATAAATATAGCGTCCCTACTTCGTGGTTCGCTTTTTGCGGACTCTGTTTTCGCGGATCTTTGCCACCGCCGCCGCTCTCCGAGGCACTTTCCCTCCTCAGTCCTTCCTCCCTCCAGCCATGAAGGGCCTTTCCTTCCTTCCTTCCTTTCCTTTATGTTAAGTTTATAAAGACTTAAAATAGTGTATAACTGCTAAAATAATGTATAAATATTAAAATAAATATAGCGTCCCTACATCACGGTTTTTGACTTATTGCGGGAGGTCCTGGAACGTAAAATAAATATAGCGTCCCTATTTCACTTTTCGCGGACTCGCTGTTTTGCGGGTTTTTGCCACCTGGCAACGATGGAGCGTGGAAGGGGGCTTCACCCTCCCCTGAGAGAGAGGCAGCCCATCATTAAAAAAAGAGAGAGAGAGAGGAGATACAAAACAGTATGTAAATCACGGCCTTATAGTCCCTTCCTTATATGCATGACCGTATTTCTGTGTACGAACCCACACAATCTCTTCGATCATCTGGAGAGGCCCTGTTCATGCTCCCGCCTCCTTTGCAAGCACGATTGGTGGGGACGAGGGAGAGGGCCTTCTCGGTGATGGCCCCCCGACTCTGGAACTCACTCCCCGGGGACATTAGACATGCCCCAACGTTGGCAGTCTTTAGGAGGAGCCTGAAAACGTGGTTGTTCCAGTGTGCCTTCCCAGAATAAAGCGAACTCTCAGCAATATGTCCTCACAATGAACTTTAATACTGACTTAGGATGGACTGTGCTCCCTCGTTTCTCTCCGAAAAATCCTATCCTAGTTATATTTTACCTTGTTCACGTCAGCATATTTTCAATTTTCATCTATTACATTTGGCCCGGCCATTGTTAAAATTGTTTATATGTCACTATTGATGGTTTTTTTGTTTATGTGATTTATATGATTTGTATTTTATTGTTTATTTATGTTGTGCTTATTGATGTTTCGTTTGATGTACTTTGGGCTGGGCCTCATGTAAGCCGCACCGAGCCCCTTGGGCAGATGGTAGCGGGGTACAAATAAAGATTATTATTATTATTATTATTATTATTGCTAGCAAAAAAAAGATACATGATGCCCTTAAATCTCTCCTCGCTTCTGCCTCACCGTCGGAATGCGATAGATAGATAGCGTCCCTACTTTGCGGATTTTCACTTTTCGCGGGTGGTCCTGGAACGTAGCACCCGCAATAAGTGAGGGAACACTGTAATTATATTATTATTGTTAATAATAATATAATAATATTGCAAACTTCCAGGCTCCTGTGACATCGTGGGAGGAAGCGGAGGACGGGGTGATCTATACGGTCAGTTCGCGGCCGGCGCCGGGCACCAGGGTAAGTGTCCGTCCCACACTTTGGGAATTTGGGGAGTTGTAGACCCAATCGTTGCACGTGTCATTCTTTTGTCTCCTTCCATCCCCATTGGTACCCGCCTCCTTCTCTCTTTGCAGGGCGAGGAGGAGGCCGCCGCCGTCTCGGGTCTTCCCCCGGAGGGAGTCCCGCCACCCCAAGTGTCCCGGTGCCTGAAGGCCGGGACGCTACCTGCGCTGGTGCGCCACCTGCTAGAGGCCCCTTCCGCGGGCGACCTGGGCTTCGTGCCCTCCTTCCTGGGCACCTTCCGCACCTTCGCCACCCCCCAAGAGGTGCTGGGGCTCCTCCTCCACAGGTCAGTCCGACAAGGGCAATGGGCACGGGGAGGGCACTTCTATTGCACTACACCAGGTAGGGCAAACTTCAGCCCTCCAGGTGTTTCAAACTTCAACTCTCACAATTCCTAACAGCCGGTAGGCTGTTAGGAATTGTGTGAGTTGGAGTCCAAAACACCTGGAGGGTCAAAGTTTGCCCATGCCTGTGTTACATACACTGTATTACACTATATAACATGATTATCTCTCCCGACCGAGACTCAAAATGGCTCACAATCAGAAACATTACAACGTCAAATATACAATAATAGAACAGTATTAACGTGGTAACGGCCGACAGGGAGCTCTGGCGTGGGCTGGTCCATGAGGTCACGAAGAGTCGGAGACGACTGAACGAATGAACAACAACAACAATATCATTATATATTATTATATATACCTGTAGTAATTATATTTCATATATAAGTATTACTGTAGTATAATATATATTATTGTATTGTATTATTATCAGTATTATATTGTATGGCATTCTAATAATATTATCAATATATGTATATACAATATATTCTGTTATTAACGTAGCATAATATTAGGATTATATATTACTGTTGTTGTTGTTGTTGTTCATTCGTTCAGTCGTCTCCGACTCTTCGTGACCTCATGGACCAGCCCACGCCAGAGCTCCCTGTCATTCGTTCAGTCGTCTCCGACTCTTTGTGACCTCATGGACCAGCCCACGCCAGAGCTCCCTGTCATTCGTTCAGTCGTCTCCGACTCTTCGTGACCTCATGGACCAGCCCACGCCAGAGCTCCCTGTCATTCGTTCAGTCGTCTCCGACTCTTCGTGACCTCATGGACCAGCCCACGCCAGAGCTCCCTGTCATTCGTTCAGTCGTCTCCGACTCTTCGTGACCTCATGGACCAGCCCACGCCAGAGCTCCCTGTCATTCGTTCAGTCGTCTCCGACTCTTCGTGACCTCATGGACCAGCCCACGCCAGAGCTCCCTTTCGTTCAGTCGTCTCCGACTCTTCGTGACCTCATGGACCAGCCCACGCCAGAGCTCCCTGTCATTCGTTCAGTCGTCTCCGACTCTTCGTGACCTCATGGACCAGCCCACGCCAGAGCTCCCTGTCATTCGTTCAGTCGTCTCCGACTCTTCGTGACCTCATGGACCAGCCCACGCCAGAGCTCCCTGTCATTCGTTCAGTCGTCACCGACTCTTTGTGACCTCATGGACCAGCCCACGCCAGAGCTCCCTGTCATTCGTTCAGTCGTCTCCGACTCTTCGTGACCTCATGGACCAGCCCACGCCAGAGCTCCCTGTCATTCGTTCAGTCGTCACCGACTCTTCGTGACCTCATGGACCAGCCCACGCCAGAGCTCCCTGTCATTCGTTCAGTCGTCACCGACTCTTCGTGACCTCATGGACCAGCCCACGCCAGAGCTCCCTGTCATTCGTTCAGTCGTCACCGACTCTTCGTGACCTCATGGACCAGCCCACGCCAGAGCTCCCTGTCATTCGTTCAGTCGTCTCCGACTCTTCGTGACCTCATGGACCAGCCCACGCCAGAGCTCCCTGTCATTCGTTCAGTCGTCTCCGACTCTTCGTGACCTCATGGACCAGCCCACGCCAGAGCTCCCTGTCATTCGTTCAGTCGTCTCCGACTCTTCGTGACCTCATGGACCAGCCCACGCCAGAGCTCCCTGTCATTCGTTCAGTCGTCACCGACTCTTCGTGACCTCATGGACCAGCCCACGCCAGAGCTCCCTGTCATTCGTTCAGTCGTCTCCGACTCTTCGTGACCTCATGGACCAGCCCACGCCAGAGCTCCCTGTCATTCGTTCAGTCGTCTCCGACTCTTCGTGACCTCATGGACCAGCCCACGCCAGAGCTCCCTGTCATTCGTTCAGTCGTCTCCGACTCTTCGTGACCTCATGGACCAGCCCACGCCAGAGCTCCCTGTCATTCGTTCAGTCGTCACCGACTCTTCGTGACCTCATGGACCAGCCCACGCCAGAGCTCCCTGTCATTCGTTCAGTCGTCACCGACTCTTCGTGACCTCATGGACCAGCCCACGCCAGAGCTCCCTGTCATTCGTTCAGTCGTCTCCGACTCTTCGTGACCTCATGGACCAGCCCACGCCAGAGCTCCCTGTCATTCGTTCAGTCGTCACCGACTCTTCGTGACCTCATGGACCAGCCCACGCCAGAGCTCCCTGTCATTCGTTCAGTCGTCACCGACTCTTCGTGACCTCATGGACCAGCCCACGCCAGAGCTCCCTGTCATTCGTTCAGTCGTCACCGACTCTTCGTGACCTCATGGACCAGCCCACGCCAGAGCTCCCTGTCATTCGTTCAGTCGTCACCGACTCTTCGTGACCTCATGGACCAGCCCACGCCAGAGCTCCCTGTCATTCGTTCAGTCGTCTCCGACTCTTCGTGACCTCATGGACCAGCCCACGCCAGAGCTCCCTGTCATTCGTTCAGTCGTCTCCGACTCTTCGTGACCTCATGGACCAGCCCACGCCAGAGCTCCCTGTCATTCGTTCAGTCGTCACCGACTCTTCGTGACCTCATGGACCAGCCCACGCCAGAGCTCCCTGTCATTCGTTCAGTCGTCTCCGACTCTTCGTGACCTCATGGACCAGCCCACGCCAGAGCTCCCTGTAATTCGTTCAGTCGTCTCCGACTCTTCGTGACCTCATGGACCAGCCCACGCCAGAGCTCCCTGTCATTCGTTCAGTCGTCTCCGACTCTTCGTGACCTCATGGACCAGCCCACGCCAGAGCTCCCTGTCATTCGTTCAGTCGTCACCGACTCTTCGTGACCTCATGGACCAGCCCACGCCAGAGCTCCCTGTCATTCGTTCAGTCGTCACCGACTCTTCGTGACCTCATGGACCAGCCCACGCCAGAGCTCCCTGTCATTCGTTCAGTCGTCACCGACTCTTCGTGACCTCATGGACCAGCCCACGCCAGAGCTCCCTGTCATTCGTTCAGTCGTCACCGACTCTTCGTGACCTCATGGACCAGCCCACGCCAGAGCTCCCTGTCATTCGTTCAGTCGTCACCGACTCTTCGTGACCTCATGGACCAGCCCACGCCAGAGCTCCCTGTCATTCGTTCAGTCGTCACCGACTCTTCGTGACCTCATGGACCAGCCCACGCCAGAGCTCCCTGTCATTCGTTCAGTCGTCACCGACTCTTCGTGACCTCATGGACCAGCCCACGCCAGAGCTCCCTGTCATTCGTTCAGTCGTCACCGACTCTTCGTGACCTCATGGACCAGCCCACGCCAGAGCTCCCTGTCATTCGTTCAGTCGTCACCGACTCTTCGTGACCTCATGGACCAGCCCACGCCAGAGCTCCCTGTCATTCGTTCAGTCGTCTCCGACTCTTCGTGACCTCATGGACCAGCCCACGCCAGAGCTCCCTGTCATTCGTTCAGTCGTCACCGACTCTTCGTGACCTCATGGACCAGCCCACGCCAGAGCTCCCTGTCATTCGTTCAGTCGTCTCCGACTCTTCGTGACCTCATGGACCAGCCCACGCCAGAGCTCCCTGTCATTCGTTCAGTCGTCTCCGACTCTTCGTGACCTCATGGACCAGCCCACGCCAGAGCTCCCTGTCATTCGTTCAGTCGTCACCGACTCTTCGTGACCTCATGGACCAGCCCACGCCAGAGCTCCCTGTCATTCGTTCAGTCGTCTCCGACTCTTCGTGACCTCATGGACCAGCCCACGCCAGAGCTCCCTGTCATTCGTTCAGTCGTCACCGACTCTTCGTGACCTCATGGACCAGCCCACGCCAGAGCTCCCTGTCATTCGTTCAGTCGTCACCGACTCTTCGTGACCTCATGGACCAGCCCACGCCAGAGCTCCCTGTCATTCGTTCAGTCGTCACCGACTCTTCGTGACCTCATGGACCAGCCCACGCCAGAGCTCCCTGTCATTCGTTCAGTCGTCACCGACTCTTCGTGACCTCATGGACCAGCCCACGCCAGAGCTCCCTGTCATTCGTTCAGTCGTCTCCGACTCTTCGTGACCTCATGGACCAGCCCACGCCAGAGCTCCCTGTCATTCGTTCAGTCGTCACCGACTCTTCGTGACCTCATGGACCAGCCCACGCCAGAGCTCCCTGTCATTCGTTCAGTCGTCTCCGACTCTTCGTGACCTCATGGACCAGCCCACGCCAGAGCTCCCTGTCATTCGTTCAGTCGTCACCGACTCTTCGTGACCTCATGGACCAGCCCACGCCAGAGCTCCCTGTCATTCGTTCAGTCGTCTCCGACTCTTCGTGACCTCATGGACCAGCCCACGCCAGAGCTCCCTGTCATTCGTTCAGTCGTCTCCGACTCTTCGTGACCTCATGGACCAGCCCACGCCAGAGCTCCCTGTCATTCGTTCAGTCGTCTCCGACTCTTCGTGACCTCATGGACCAGCCCACGCCAGAGCTCCCTGTCATTCGTTCAGTCGTCACCGACTCTTCGTGACCTCATGGACCAGCCCACGCCAGAGCTCCCTGTCATTCGTTCAGTCGTCACCGACTCTTCGTGACCTCATGGACCAGCCCACGCCAGAGCTCCCTGTCATTCGTTCAGTCGTCACCGACTCTTCGTGACCTCATGGACCAGCCCACGCCAGAGCTCCCTGTCATTCGTTCAGTCGTCACCGACTCTTCGTGACCTCATGGACCAGCCCACGCCAGAGCTCCCTGTCATTCGTTCAGTCGTCACCGACTCTTCGTGACCTCATGGACCAGCCCACGCCAGAGCTCCCTGTCATTCGTTCAGTCGTCTCCGACTCTTCGTGACCTCATGGACCAGCCCACGCCAGAGCTCCCTGTCATTCGTTCAGTCGTCACGACTCTTCGTGACCTCATGGACCAGCCCACGCCAGAGCTCCCTGTCATTCGTTCAGTCGTCTCCGACTCTTCGTGACCTCATGGACCAGCCCACGCCAGAGCTCCCTGTCATTCGTTCAGTCGTCACCGACTCTTCGTGACCTCATGGACCAGCCCA